GTGTGGTTCGGCAGGTGGTCAAAGTGTCGGCATCATTATGCAGTGCACGCTCGATGACAGTTGTCTCTCTTATGATTTCATCTACTGTTGTAGGTGGATTTTGTACGAGGCCCGCAAACACTGGTTGCCTAACACCCTGCATTCAGGTGACGCACCTGCTTCGCCTCGTGCAGGTCAGTGTCAGCTCGTCGAAATAGACGGATCATACACTCTGCGTACATGGCGGCTGTTCCGTTGGGTTTTTTTGTAATCAGTTGCTGTGCGTGATCTTGTCAGTCTGAATTCAAAAATGTGGCGAGAAACTTTCGAAGGAAAATTTTCTCCATGATTGGAAAGTAGCCTGGCGATTCTCAAACACGTGCGAGCTGCGACTTTCCAGTGCGAAATATGCATGGCCAAGTTTGTGCTGTTCGCTTCCACGTTGGTTGGATACAACGATCTGTTCGAACTCTTCGAGGAGTCCCTCGACATCCTCGTACTCTTCCCCACCAAAACTTCAGGAACGCGAGGATGTTCCAGAGCCACCTGCGATCGAAGAGTGTTCTGCGATGGAAGGATAAACCATGCGTGCGGTAGGTGCTGCCATACTGGTAAGGTGCGGAACAGGGGCGGACTCCGGACTTAGGCCTAGTAGGCGCCGACTGAATCGGTGCAGTGGAGCCGTGACGAGGAGCTGAGTCTCTGGATTAGGTGAATGGGTCCGAGTGAGATTGTCCTGCATCAGGTTGTAGGCTCTAGCACCTCCACCAGGGTGAAGACGTGAAAACAGAAGCCTTGTCGCAGAGTTTGAAACACCAGAAGCAGGTCGGTCTCTTTAATAGAACGCGCAGCGAGTTCTTCTTCGTCCATTTCATAAATCTTCATGGCGCATGCACAACTTCCATCGTCTTTTTGAGGCATCACGTGACAATATTCAAGATTTCACGTGAACCAAGATAATGCTGCAGCACAGGTTTAGGACCTGCATATATTCGGGCGCTTTCATGGGACTGCCATGAGCTCCATAGAGTGAATGTGTAAGAACGTGTGAAGTTTGAAACTCTGAAACTCTTTGGAGTCTCCTTCTTTTTATGACCTTTCTCGGAACTGCCTACCTGAAACTGCATTCACTGGAGCAATTATCACTATCACGACGATAATCTTGAAGGCTTGAATTTGCGCGTTCGCCCTATTCAACGGGTGCTGCCGCAGTGGATTTTCCGACATCCTCTTTGGCGCGAGTGTTTAATCGCTATGCGGTGAAGCATATCGTGAACCAAAAGGAGCTATTTTTATGGCTCGAGTGAACAGCAACGTGGAACACATGACTTGCGATTAGCGAACACATGACCTGGCGGATACGCGATACGAGACCTTCCCAATTCTTGCTAATCGCGTTCATTGCATCCACCTTTGCGGCAAAGCTTTGACTTTTTTTTGTGAAACCTCTCCTGTCTTTTTTCGTTGCGGACAAAATCTACAGAGTAGTACTTCACTACTGCGCAGCACTCGATCACCACAGAGGACACACTATGCAACTGTTCTAAACTGCAAGAGGAATACTGGGCACACCACTCTGTCGCCTCACAGAGACCTGGTGGGGTGGGTTCGCCAAGTCCAATTCTTTGCAGGAAGAGAGGCCGACGGATGTTTCATGCGATCTCTGTTTGCAAGCTCGACAACGTCGCCTGCCTCGTACAACACCGCGCCGTCAGTAAGACCACCATGTCTCGCAGCTGTATCTATATACTTGAAGGAACTGAAGTATGCACGCTTATGCAATATCTAAACAACCTGAACTTTGGTCTTCTGGTACAGACGACGTCTGATGCCATAAGCACTACGCCATAGGCACATGCCATTTCCATATGGAAAGATACACCACAGACGTTGCTGGTAAGAAAGTTTCACTTTCTACCAGCAGTGCGGTCGGTGGCAGCGCGTGCTCGTCGGCCATCCCAAGACTTTTTGGCTCTGTAAATTGGGTCGCAACGAAAACAACTGCATAACTGCACTTCAAAACATCCATTGCAAGTGGTAGTTCCCGCTCTTGACTCTCTTCGCTTCGGCTAGGTTCCCGCCGGAAGCCGCGCACAGGATAAGCGGCAGCAGCAGCGCGGCGGAGAACAGAGCCCCGCGCTGATGTCACACGCGAGGGGGCGCCACTCCACCATTTCGAGGCCTATTGGGGCGTGTGGTTCTTATCTGAAACAGGTGCTCAAGAAAAGTGCTCATTGCAAAAGGAGACTGTTTCTTAGCTTTCTCAGGTGACCTTGCGCAGCAATACATTTCTGTTGCATTTTCCACGGTGATTATAATGAACCAGCTTTCAGGTATTGAATACCACGTGTTTTCTGCGCGGTTACCTGTGCAATGCTTGCTTGCTGGTATTAGTTCGAACTTAGTTTTTTTTTTAGGCCACAGGGCTTCCTCCTTAAACTTTTCTCTTCCGTAGCTTCTGTCGTACCTTTTTTAGAAAATAAACAACAGCATGTAGTTGTGCAATGAGGCGGTGAGTTCCGCAAGCCAACACAAATATTAATAGCCTCTATTTTAGACAGTATACGGAAAAGCCGTGGGCGAATTCTACATGGTTTTAAACTTTTTCAATACAAACACCCTTGCCATTTTTGTGGGCCAACAGCTTTATTGAACGTTGTGAAATATTTTGCGTAGGGAAACTGATGTTTATCGCAAGAAACAAATATTTTGGCAATTCTAGCTCAAAAGTTAGGAGTTGGTCACTGATGAGGGACCACCGTGCAGTGAAAGTCTACTGCACTCACATTCAGTGAAAGTCAGCTCTTCATTTCTATAGTACTTAGCGTTAGGTACTCATACAAAATGGTTTCCTGCCCTATAATCATAGGCATGCACGAAACACTCATGTGTCTATAAAAATATCTTGGGTTCACCATCTATCATGCCATGAGGACGATGGCAGCCGGAAAGAAATCAACCGTAACATGTCACATTGAATTTCCAAACGAAGTAGCATCATCTCTATCAGATTGTCGAAAGCTCTCAATATATGCGCCATTTCGAATCCAACACGCGGGGCTCACTTATTTCAAGAGTCAAAAATGAGTAAAAGCTGGTTACCCGGGGTGACCACCATGTTCAAAAGAGTTAATGCCACACTGTTTCTTTATAATGCCTTCTGGTCGTAATCTATAGCGCATATTGAGGTGGACGTTTTGGTTTTTCTTCTACGGCTTCTGGGTTCGTTACCTTTTCTTTAAGAATATCGTGCCATTTGCTTTCTAAAGCCTCTGAGGGGTGCTATATCATGCCCGTGCAATGGTGCAAAGAAGCATACAAGCATATAATCGTCCGCGATCATAGAAATACGAGTACAATGATCTACCAAAACAAATAGCTTCATCGATGGTACGACCACAGAACATGTACAGCCTCCGTAAGTGAGCGCTCCATGCACGCAGTCGCATGATTCATCGAGTGGAAGCAACATAAAAAATACACCATCTTCATTAAAGATAACCAGGTAGACCGCGAAGGAGCGCTTCTTTTCACCTGTGTTTCCAAATAGTTATTTCCATTTGTATGTTTCGGTGTATGTTGCATTTGTCCATAGAGTTGGTATATCTTGCGTACAATTCTGTTAACCTCTTTCGCGCTGGGTGTATCACGGTGTGTGTGCCGTAAAGTGAACACACAGCGCTGTTACAAGAGTGCAGTGAAGCGAGCGCTTGCAGCATTATATCTGAGCGCACAGATGTGACGCATATACAGGAAAGGAGGAACGAAGTAGAGGCAACGCTCTGCCACTCCTCTCATCTGCTCGCGCGCACGCGTCAGGAGCGGGAATCGGCACATGCGCAATGAGGGAAGGACTGTCACGCGCGACGGACACGATCCGGAGCAAAAGCTGCTTCACACCTAAAAATCAAAGTGGAGGGTGCAAGGGAAAGGTTATAGCAGCGGAGAGGGCATGTGGATTATGAGCTTCGGTGCACAGAGGTGGGCGAACACTGCCTTGCGAAGCTTCCACGTCTTCACAAGGCAGTGAATTTTGTGATAGGGTGTTGTGCGGGGCACATTTTTGCCGCGGACGTGCGCAGCAGCAGCTTGTGGCACTGCTTATGCACGTGTAAGTCCGTCCATGTTTCTGTCAATCTGCAACACAACAAGCTATATGGATGAAACCACGCTCTCTCTCGCGCTCGCAATGCGAGCCAGAGTTTTGAAATACATAACAGTGATATATTCTTCTTTAGGTGCGTCTATTTTGTAGTCAAGTAATTAAATTGCACCGATAATTAAGAGCTGAGGTTGTTAGAGCACATTTTCGCGGTTACGGTCACTACCGAAGATGCGGATCTTGTTGACGATATAACTGCGCTTTAGTATGCTGTTTTCTTGGTTTATGTAACTGATAAAGTGGATAAAATTACTCTACCTTGTTTCTCGGCATTGACCGGTTCTCTCGTTGCCTGAGCAGCGCACATAGATTTGAGAAGTCATCGCAGAACGAATATAAACATCAGTCATTTGCACCGTCATGCTGCGTTTGTCGCCCCTAAACGGGTATGGCGGATGAAGCTTACGAGATCATTGACAGTTTGATCTGTGCATTTTGAGCATTCACTATTCATGGTGGAACAATGTACTCAGTTCCACAGTGTTTGCTTAGAATAAAGTGAACTGCAATGCGTAATGTTCTTATGTATACTACTGTGTGTGATTTACAGCGTCAAGTTATTTTGATATATTGCACTGCCTTCAAACTGACAAAATCAAGAATCTCCGTGAAGATCCTTTATGTAGTAAACACAATTTCATGCACTCAGTGGTCTATGCCTCATAACAATCTTAGTATGTGAATTACGACAGTGCTCTATTCGTTGTTGCTTGATATTAGGCACGAATCACATTGCATGCCGTTTTATTTGTTAGTAACGGGCGTTTTGAATAATAAATACTCACTGTGTTTTTTTTTTCAAATAAACAAAAAAGAAGGTTCTCAGCTGATACACATTCTCTTTTGCTGTCTCTTTCAGCTGAAAACCCCTGCGCGGGTATAGACGACGAAGCATGCATAAATAAAGAGAAATGGTGCCTTGTCGATGCAAAAGGACAACCTAGACCTAAATTGCCGTAAGTCAACATTTAAAGTAGGAGTGTCTAAGACGACGTATCACTGTGAGCTTGAATTTTCGGACTCATTTAAATGGACGCTAAAAATCAAAACTTTTTTTATGTATCAGTAAACTACGATTTCAAGATCCCGAAAACCACCACTCTTACGATGACATGACGCTTAGCAAGCGAGGAAAACGTGCGAAAAGAAAAAACGAGGGGCGACGCTGCCTTGAGATTCCCGCCCGAAACACCTTGACGTAAGAATTTTGAATGATGTGTCTACCGATTTCTACGTAGTTCCAATAGATAAAAATTAAATACATTGTCATCTGTTCGTGCCACAGACTTGCCATACGTAGTTTCGAAAATTGATCGAGGCAATGTCTTGAAAATACGAAAGCTACATTTTGCAATTTCTTACGTACCGACGAGATTTTGGCGTGAAGGTCAAAAATGATCCTTTGACCTTGATTTTTTCTGCAAATAATTGAACCTACTATATTGAAACGTATGGCGTTAGAGTGCTAAGAGTGCAGTTTCTCAGTCTAAGTCAAGTCATTCTTCCTCTTTAGCTTCCGTTTAAAAGGCCATTCTTAGTGCAGCACTGTTAATATTATTTGCTCAAAACAGTACAGTTTTGTGAACAATAACTGAGTGGACATCCCAACCGACGAGAAAATCAAATCGAGGTGGTCACCTTTGCTGTTTCCTTAGCTATAACTTAGGAGGGTTATCGTGGAATATATAAAAATAACGCTAGCTTCTTAGGGTGGGAGGTAGAAATTGTGAATGTGCCTACAGGGTCCTGTGTAGCATTGTGGTATGTAATATCGGGTTTTTCTTGAGCGAGGGACCACTAACCAAGAACTGAGTCGATCCACGGCAGCAATAGCACCAACAATTTTACAAATAAAACTGAACTAATAATGAGTGTCACTTGGGTCAATCAATTACATACAGTCCTAGCTGCGCTAATTGTCTTTTAAAACAGAAACCACTCACCATGTACGAAGTCGCTGAGAGACGTATGTCGGTCGCTCAGAGACGATGCGCCGTCTGGCTGGGGACGTATTTAACGCCCGTCAGCCCTCGCCATGGCACATATCTCTGCTGCAGTAGCTCGGCAGCATGGACACTACGTTCATCCCGACTGCACCCGGGTCGTCTCAGCGACTTGCAAGAAAGTCAGCAGCAGTGGTTCTTCGCTCATGGAAAATAATCGATCGCCGTGAATGACAGCGAGGACAGCAGCACACCTCGCCTGATCCCTCAGTCAGCTGCGCAGCCGGAATGCAGTCCTAGCTCGTCGTGGTTGCCATGAAGCAGTGAGGAACGCCAGCCAGAACCTCCGCTCATAGCATGAGCCCTGAACCAGTCCCCAGCCGGGGTACAAGAACGGTAGCGCCTGGAGATATCGCTTACTTCTCCGGAGCCGATGTCTAGCCGAGAACATATGTCATTGGCCGCTTCAAGGTTGTTGAACGTCGACACACACACCGTAGGGCGCGTCGCACACGCACAGCTGTTTTTCTCTCGGTCACCCCTCTCGGCAACCACTGATTTGTTTTCACTCCTCTATTGTGACGATCATCCTTCAATAGACAAAAATGGAAGTACTATTTACATCTGCGAGTGCAGACTTGGCATACAGCCTAGCTGTTACTCTTATGGCAAAACCCTACCAAACTTTCCCACACTATTTGAATGATGATGTTATTGGGCATTTTATGAATTTGTTCAAAATTATTAGCCTTTCAAAAAGCAAAACAACTATTTTCATAACTTTATTTTTCGAGAAACACTTGTGAAAACATTTTTATTTTAACTAGGTGAAAACTCTTGCAATTAATTGTGTCTAGGGTGACTTTTTGAATCACAATAACAATTATTTGCAGGAACAATCATTAGTCGACCTTTAATGTCTGAACTGTGAAACTATAGAGCAAAATAAGTGTTTTTTCAGTTCGCCGCAATAATTAGCCCCCTTTAAATGATTCCGCAGTTATATTATCTAAAATACACCTTATGCGTTGCGAATTCTTCCTATGCCGCAGAAGCGAGGATCTCGCAATGAGAATTGTACTCTAGGACTACGTAACTTGCTGTGCGCCACCTCTTCAGTACCTACACACCAAATAAACAAAATTATAAACATAGAACTTACGCACCAAGACGAGAAAAAAACAAAAAGTAAAAGCTGTTGTGTGCGCTTCGCGCTCTCCGCCATCAGCTCCAAGACAATCGGTCGTAGCCTAAAATACCTCATACGAGACAGCGCTCAATTTTCATGCTGAAAGTAAATGCGCCGTGAGTTCTTGACAGCTGGCCTTAAAGATGGCACGCATTTCCTGACTTACTTGCTCAAAGTTTTGAATGCGAAGCATTTTTGGTGAACTTCGACGACTTTGAGCGTATCTATGTATCTATCTATCTATCTATCTATCTATCTATCTATCTATCTATCTATCTATCTATCTATCCATCTATATATCTGGCCGCCTACGACATTTAGCTCTTTTGGCCGTTTCGATAATGGTATCGATACTGAGCTTGGTACGGTATAACATGACTGTATGAAAAACATATTTGAGTATCACAACGTGAAAATCATCATATGTATTTCATGAATGCCATGATCTACATGTCATAGTTCTGCCGCTCCTGCGGGGGTTTCATTCACATGGCTTGTTGCAAAACTGGTATAATAGGACATGACTGCATGGCGAACACAAGCGACAGACCCTAACATGAAAGTTCTGACATGTGTGTCATGTAACATTATGACTACATGCCATGCTCATGATGCACTCGCGGCCGTTGCGCTAGCGTCACATATACCAAACTTGGCATTATAGTACGTGAATGAATGGCGAAGGTATGTGACCGGTGCAAACATGATAATCATGAGTTGCATGTCATGTAACAACATGACTACATGCCACGCTCATGATGCGCCAGCGGCTATTTCGCTAGCTTCACATGTACAAAACTCGGTATTACGCGAAGCGAACGGACGCCATAGGTAAATAACACATTCAAACGTGACAGTCACAACATGCGTGTCATGTAACGACATGAATACATGCCCCACTGATGATGTGCTCGCGGCCGTTTCGCTAGCTTCACATATGCCAAATTTGGTAGCACGGGGCGTGAATGGACGACGAAGGCAAACGATGCGTCCAAACATTATAATGATGAGATGTGTCATGTGAAAACATGACTACATTCCACAATCAAGGCGCCAATACTATTCGACGTGATGCGGTGCACGGTTTTGCTGGCGTTCATTGCGTCGCGTCACGCCGGCCTTGCCATGCCAGGCACCAGTCCTGCCATATACTCGCAGGCGCGCGCCGCACTGCGTTGTTTTGACGCATGCGCGTTTCAGTGCATCCGGCGTCCCTCAGTCACGGAAAGAGGGAGACGCAGTGTTGTCTGGCTAACGCATCAGCGCGAAATGCAGCCTGTCACATTTCGCGCCAGTTACCGTCAGGCAGCGCCGACGGACGCTGGTCACGCCAGGTATCAGACTATACACCGGAACACAGCAAGCTGAGTGCTTGCTGCCATATTGAGAAGCGCGTGGCACCGTCTATTGCAAGCGCGGCGAAGCAACACTCTCAACTACCAGGCGAGCAGATGCTCTGAAAATCAAACGCGAAACTTTACAACTCAAGTCCGGTTGTAAGCATGTTTCGCGCTGTTCCTGTGCTGGAAGTTTATGCTGATTTCGTGTGAAACGTCGAGGAGACCTTCTCCGACAGTCCGCAATGACTGCAGCATGTCCATTGCCGACTACAAAAGCAGCTTGATCAGGTACGTACTTACGATTGAAAGAAACGAGAACAGCGGCAAGCGTTGCTTTCGACTCAGTCGAACTGCGGCGTGCCTTGGCTTTGACAAGGCAGAATTTGTGCTCTAAGCTGGCGTCAACGTAGCGCTAGAATCTGGCTCCCACTGACGCTCATGCACCGCATGTGTATCAATTGCGAGTCTTGTGGGCACTCGGAACACATACGCGCCGCAAAAGTTTCAGGTAGAACAAGATATCAAAATGCTACGGTGACGCCGGCTGAAAGAACGTGTAGATTCGCCTAGTGACGGTCAAGGCATGTCGCAGTTCGACCGAGTCGAAAGTCATGCTTTCCGCCCCGTTCACGCATCGCGATAGTAGGCCGTTGAAGTTGTACTGAACATGCGCGGTGCGTGCATCCACGCGTGAGTCGTAATACGTATATTCTATTAATGACATGTGGCCTGAAAAAGAGTACGGCAATAGTTTTGTGCCTCATACTACAGGCATTACTGCACGCAAATCGCTTCTGTTAAGTAAAACAGCTGGAGTCGTGCTTCAATAAACACAATAAGTGTACTTGTAGACTTCACTGGGCTCGTAGATTTTCCTGCTGATTGCGATTATATCCTAGGGCGGGAAAGCTCGGCATCTTTCGTTATGGACGGAAATCTGTGCAATCGCAAAAGACCGCACCGGCAGGATTCTCACGATGCACTGAACTTCACAGGCAGTGCTCAGCGAACTCATCTTCTTTCGCTGGTTGTTGTCGGATCAGATGACAGCGCAGTGGTAGCCAGATGACATTATATAAGTGGGATCAGCGTGAAGAGGCGCTTTTTCACATTTTAAACTCCCGGAGCCACTGCATTCTATGATAGCGAGGCGCGCCTTGGCAGTTGCAAACAAATTATGGCGTCTCTGGGAGCGAGGATATACCGCCGAAGGCGCCTGAGTTCGAGATAGGCGTGCTCTTTTATATAAAGTGCGAAAATAGTGAAAGTTGGGCTACTTGGTGGTTCATGCTTGGGATGTAAAAACAGCGCAAAAAATATAGATAAGGACAGAGGAAGAGACGAGACTCGCAACTAAACTTTATTGGAAGACACACGCACATATATCATGAAGTCGACCGGGTCAAGTGGTGAACCAAAGGCGTCTGCAC